ACATCTGAGCTTTGGAGTGCTAGGCCGTTCCCTTTCCTGAACTGATCTGTTTTTAAGGGCCTCATCTTTAGCAAATAACACCCTATGTCCTACTCTCTTTCATTTCCGCCTGACTTCTTTATACCTGCACTGTCTTGGGATGGAGCTGGATTCAGCCTCAAAGCATCTGACTTTTTGATTAACAGGGTTGATGATATTGTTAGTTGCAAATCCTTGTTCCCTTGGAGCTTAACTGTAATCCTGACATAAATGCTGGACCGTGGGAGGGAATTTTCTCACCCACACTGTATTTTGTTACCTATCCTTGGTACAGTATAGGCATGGGCATATTTGCCCCTCCGGATGTTTTGGACTTCAGCTCCCACAATTCGGAATTGTGGAAGTCCAAAACACTTAGTGAGCCAAAGTTTGCCTATGCCTGGGATATTCAGGTGCCATGTTCTTGGATTGGAAATTCAGACCAAATAACTTTGCAAAAGACCATTTCATGGTCGAGAGACAAGAAAATTAGACTTGCCTTCTCCATACAAATGCATATTATAAAACATCTGGGTATATTGTATCAGGCCTGATCCTCCCTATTATCAAGGTGGGTTTTATAGTCCATAATCTATCTTCGAACACACCTGGAATAGCTTTTTTCTTGCATAAAAAGGATTGTCTCTCTTTGAAACCTCCACTAGGAATTGTTCCTTTACAGGGTCTTCCTGTTACCGTATATACTCAACTATAAGCCGACCTGAATATAATCCGAGGCACCTAAGTTTGCCACAAAAAACTGGGAAAACTTATTGACTTATTGACTCGAGATTTCAAAATAAAATTAGATACCAATAATATTACATTAATTGTGGCATGCGGCTTCTCTTGTCTTCTCAGTTGCTGTACCAGGACCCTCACTCATGGATAAGCCATGGGGGGGGGGGCTTTTTCACATAAAAATATGCTGAAATCTAGGCTTATGCTTGAGTATATAAGGTATTCAACATAACTTTTTCTGGCAACATTCGGTTTTGTTTTTTTCCCTTCTATTTTGGTCAGTCCGCTGCTCCCCTGGAACAGAAATGTGACCCATAGATTTACCAAAGCTGCCCAACCCTATGTTAAGTAATAGAAATATTGAGCAAAAAATGGGAAGACACTCAAGACTCACAGTCAACTGTATTCTGTAGCTGTCCATACGAATGCTAAATGTTAACGGATGCTGTAGTATCTCTACAGTCCAGAAAGCATGCCAAGCCTTGTCCAGTTTTACTCAGACCCAGAAATGATATTTCTGAATTTCCTGTACAAATGTGCTTCCTTTGGTTAGGGATGTAGGGTGCTGTTTGGGTTTGATTAAAATTTGTGTTTTGGGTTTTTTTAAGCACCAGTGATGTTCTTTAACAACAAAAAGGGCGCTATTCTGAGATACCCATAAAGAGCATTGAAGTCTCCAGAGTTTTGCAAGGTTAGAAAAGGTGATGCAATGCATTCCTGCAAAGGAGAGGAAATAAAAACGGATAACTGGTTCAAATTCTGTTCCATTGCTCTTAAAAACTTATACTATCTATCCCATATCATCCCAGCATCTATTGTATTATCTGTCAGGTCTAATATTGGTGGGAATATCGTCAACACTAGACCATTCCAACATCATTTATTGGTTCCCTGGATTTAAAAATATGGATTTGCTCCACAAATTTGCTCTTGTTTTGGGAGAGAGAGACCTACTCAAGTCATGTTTATCTATAGTTTGATCTTGCTTTGCAGCTTCATGTTGTCTTTCAACAACCCCATGAATTCCATAGTTTTCTTAGTCAATAAATTATCCAGGGATGTTTTTGCCAGTTCCTTCCTTTGAAATATATCCTAAGTAAAGGTAAAGGTTTTCCCTGATTTAAGACTAGTCGTTTCCGACTCATCTCCATTTTTAAGCCAAAGAGATGTCATTGTCTGTAGACATCTCCAAGGTCATGTGGCTGGCATGACTGCATAGAGTGCCACCAGGGGCTGAAATATAGCCTACAAGACCTAATAGTAGTTGGTGGTCTCCCATCCAAGTACTAGCCAGGACTGACCCTGCTTACCTTGTAAGATGAGATGATATCTGGTGCTTTTATGGTATTTAGGCTCTATTTGTCTTTCCTCTGGCCCAAGGTGGTTTGCCTGGCCGTTAACCATTGTAAATCAAAAATACCATTATCTGAAATGCAATCGTTGTTTACAGAAATACAACTTCAATAGCTCTTCCAAAAAATATCAAAGGCATTTTTGAGAAAGCCAGTGGTTCTTTTAATGAGGTGCTAACATCTGTGTGAAGCATCTAGGAAATGGAGCGTTAATCAGTGACAAGGCACATAGATCGAGTACATTCTGTTCCAGGAGCCTCTTTCCGTACAATGACAAGGTCCAGGAAAAACAAAGCTGGCATGGGGATACTTTCTCAATACAGCCATATCTATGTCTGTTTGGAAGGAAGTTTCCCATTAAGCTCATTGGAGCTTACTTCCAGTTCAGTATATCCAGTGCGACTTCTCTATCCCTGGTGGAAAGAGGAAACCATTGATAACGGTTCTGGCCCACCCTACCTGTCTGAATGTATCTCTCCCTATGAACCAGCTAGGAATTTATTATCTTCCGGGGAGGTCCTGCTCTCGATCCCGCCTTTGTCGCAGGCGCGCCTGGCGGGGACGAGAGACAGGGCCTTCTCAGTGGTGGCTCCTCAGCTATGGAACTCCCTCCCTAGGGATATTAGATCGGCCCCCTCCCTACTGACATTCCAAAAAAAAAAATTAAAAACCTGGCTTTTTGAACAAGCATTTTGGAAACGCAGTGTAATGGATGAATATGGAACCCAGGAAAGAATGAACATGGAACGGCTTGACCAATGTCTTTGAAAATGAGCTAATAGAAAGTTAGTGATGTTTTATGCTTTTAACGTTTTTTACATAGTTTTTATAATGTGTGTTAAATGTATTTAATTTTGTATTAATTTTGTTTATGTTCATTGTGGCATCGAATCGTGCCAGTGTAAGCTGCCATGAGTTGCCTTCAGGCTGAGAAAGGCGGCATAGAAATGCAGCAAATAAATGAATAAATAATACCGAACTTAATTGAAGTGAATGACTACTACTTCTTCTAGAAGTTGCCATAAAATCACCTGGAAGACCTTAAAAAATTCTGTATAGGCAATTTGCCAAATATGTGATGGATGAAACCATGGATACTAGTCCTGCATATACAGGATCTATATTTAGGGATATTTAGGGTTGTCCTAAATATCATTAAGATATGATCACAGAAACACAAACTAATGTTGATACCTTTCCTTGGGCAATTTAGATTAAAGTTACTTGGAATCTCTTCTACAGAGGACTGCCTTAAGTTCTGTTTACTTAAGGATAGAAGAGAGAGTGTCCCCTGGGATTTCTGGATGGGTTAGCATATGATAACTTGTCCGTTACACTCTGATCCATATAAATTATGCTAAACCAGACAAACTTTGGCTCTCCAGGTGTTTTGGACTTCAACTTCCACAATTCCTAAGAGCCGGTAAGGTGTTTGGAATCATGGGAGTATCAACATTACTTTGTGCTAAACTACAAGACAATTCTGATTTAAATATTTCAAGCCAATCTTTGTTGTGGAAGAAATGGGTTGATTGTGGGATTTATACTTTGGACTAACCACTTTTTTGGCCATTTTCAATACTGCAATATAAGAATCGGTTGCCCACACATGCACTGTACCAGTATTTACAACTGCAACACTTTTGTGTCTATAGATGGACCATCAACTTGTAAATCTTTATCATACCCTCAGAGAGTCTGGTTTTAAGACTTTTTAAAATTTAGTTTAGTTTGTAAAGTTTAGTTTAGTTTAGTTTGTAAACAGTTTAGTTTAGTTTGTAAACAGTTTGGTTTAGTTTGTAAAATTTAGCTTAGTTTAGTTTGTAAACAAGTCTAGTTTGTAAACAAGTTCCATAACCCAAGACGATGGAACGGATAAGGACATGAATGAGTGGATATAGTTTTTAGTTTTTAATATTGTTATTATGCACTGTCTTATGTCTAATTGCACTATAATGGTTCTTTTTGTTTATTAATGTATGTATTTTTATGGCATCGAATTGTGCCAATTGTGTACACCGCTCTGAGTCGCCTTTGGGCTGATATGAGCAGGGTAGAAATAATGCAAATAAATAATAAATATGTACAAATGTTTGTTAGAAAGCACTAAATTTGGCATTGATGAAATTAGAGGTGAGTAGAACAAAGAGTTGGATTTTTTTTTTCCGTGTCAGAAGCGACTTGAGAAACTGCAAGTCACTTCTGGTGTGAGAAAATTGGCCATCTGCAAGGATGTTACCTAGGAGACTCCCAGATGTGTTACCATCCTGTGGGAGGCTTCTCTCGTGTCCCTGCATGGGAAGCTGCAGCTCACAGACAGGAGCTCACCCTATCTTGCAGATTTGAACCACCAACCTTCAGATTAGTAGTTATACCAGCACAAGGATTTAACCCATTGTATGTGTAAAGGGATTTCCAAAAGGGAAACTTCCCTAGCTTCAATACCTAAAACCTCATTTGACCTGAAATTATATTTTGATGTTTTTTCAGTAGATAGATAGATAGATGATAGATAGATGATAGATAGATAGATAGATAGATAGATAGATAGATAGATAGATAAGTGTTTTAACTAACTGTTAGCAATGTAACACCTTGAGAAATAGGATATGGACATGTGCATTGATTATTCCATTTATGATCAGCTGCAATACAACAAATTAACTTTGAAACAGAAAAATCTCTGGTATTTGTATATGCAATGTGATGTGGAATTTAACTGAGGCAAAGCTGCTTTGGACATTCAATCAAGGATTCACAGAACTGAAGCTTAGATAACATTACCAAGGCATTGAGTTTGGAAATGATGATTGCAATTGCTGGCTCTTTTGTCACCCATCCGTTCGTTCATTCCTTCCTTCCCTCTCTCCCCTCCTCCTCTTTCTCTAGGTGGACGCATCTGTTCTTTCTCCCCCTGCATCGAGCAAGTTCAAAGGACCTGCCTGGCTTTGGAGGAACACGGCTTTACTGAAATTAATACTTCGGAGATCCTGCTCAGGGTGTACAACGTTCGGACAATTAGCTTGCAAATCCCTGACCTTGGAAAAGCAGCCGAGGATAATGCCAGCGCCACAGCGTTTGACAGAGGCAGCCCATCTAATCAAGATGCGGCAAGTCCTCAGGCAGGGACCGTGCAATTCAAAAGCAGTGTACCGCTCAGGGAAATGGTGGGTCACACTGGCTATTTGACCTTTGCTACCAAAAGTCTATTTTAGTTACACACGGAGAGGAGAGCAGCCTTGTCCCGCCTCGCCCTCCTGACTGAGCATCTCGGGCTTTTTTGCTCGCCGGGCAACTCCATATATAGTCAGATTGAGTAAGATTATGCTTTGTTTAAATAGTACGTAGGAGCACTAACCAGATCCACCTTAGCGGGACATTGTCATTCTGGAACACTGCTTGGCTGGCTGTCAGGTGGGGAGATGGATTAGCAACTAATAGCTGTGGGCTGGAATTTGCAAAGTAACAACCACTTGCTAAGGTTGGAGAAGGGGATGGAGGCTTTGGGAGATGTCAGCAAGGTCTCCTTGTCCTCTTTATAGATTCTGCCTTGATTATTCTCCTTTAAAACAGCCTGCCATGGAAAAAAAAGTGTGTGTGTGTATGTGTGTGTGTGTATTTACTAAGCAGAATGCTTACAAATGGGAACAATAGCTATTTTTTTAAAGAATTCACCAAATGTCCAATAAAGAATTTGAAAGAAGCTCAGAGTTGTTTAATTAATGGCATTTTGTTTATTTCATGTCAAAAGCATTGCATAAATAAGTATAAAACTGATAAAATAAAGCACAAGAAGGTAAATGATTTTAGACCAAAAACTGCCAATAATAATAATAATAATAATAAACAACTTTATTTATACCCCGCCACCATCTCCCCAATGGGGACTCGGAGCGGCTTACATGGGGCCAACATATTACATCAATAAAATAAAAGCATAAAAAACAAACAAATAACGACATCATCAAAGTACATTAATAATAATAATAAGAAAAAAGCAGTCTTAAAAAACATTCTAATAAACACAATCATGATAGCAATAACGATAACAATGGGCGGGCCACATGTACAGAATAAAACAATTTAAAAACTGTGATGAGATAAAAAAAGGAGCAAGAGATTTACAGGGATTTATGAGGTTGAACAACAGCGACTGCATTGTCTGTAGCTTTAAACAATTCTTCCTCTGTGCATGAGGCAGGGCATTGTGGGCAAGCATACAGATGCTGAGTTGTTTGTTCTGCTCCACAGTCTCACAAGGTTGAGAATTCTTGTAGATAGTGGCATTTTGCCAGGTTGTCTTTTGATCTGCCCAATCCACTTCTCAGTCTGTCCAGGGACTTCCAAGTTGACCATTCTTGGTTTGCCCCTGGAGGAAGACCCTCATGGGGGACCATCTAGTTGGGATTTCCTGGTTTAGCTGCCCAGAGGGATACTCTTGCTGTTGCTGGAGGGACACCAAGAGGAGTGATGGTTCTCATGAAGCTTTTCCTTGATTTAAGTCTGCTGGGAGGAGGCTGATAACCATGCAGTGGGTGGCTTTCACAGTGTTCAATCTTCTTTCTCTCACAGCAGCAACTTCCCATCACACATGGGGGGAGGGGGCAATGCCAGCTAACTTATAGAGTCTATCAACAGGTGTAGGTTTGAGGCACTTTGTGATTCTGCATGTTTCATTCAGTGCTATATTCACCTGCTTTGTGTGGATGGACTTGTGCCAAATAGGGCAGGTATACTCAGCAGTTGAGTAAGACAAAGCCAGGGCTGATGTTCTTCTTAATTTTGGGTCTGCACCCCATGTGCTGCCAGTAAGTTTCCACAGGATGTTATTGCATGCAGCTACTTTGTGCTTGGTGTTCATGCAGTGATTCCTAAATGTTAGTGTTTGATCTAATGTGATACCGAGATATTTAGTATTAATATTATATCAATGATATTGGGAAAACATGTTGTGGCCGGTCCAATTTATCATCAGCTACTTTAAGAATGTTTTTTGTGGCTAATGAGAGTATGACCATTTTCCCTTGATGCCCAAAAGTAATAACGGAAATGATTATTTATTATTATTATTTATTTAAAACTTTTATATCCCGATCTTCTCACCTTCGTAGAGGGACTCAGACTAGCTTACAGCAAGGATTCAATGCTACTAATACAAGTTAAAACATCATACAACAATACAAGATTAAAATACATATAGATAAAATACATATATACCAAATCGCCAAGGTAAAATCATGTTCAACTTAGTCCGCATATGTGGTCACTCACTTTGGTCTTATGTCCTTATGTCATAATTAATACTTACTTTGGAGGGCTGAAAATGTTTTTTTTTAGGTTATGTTGTCAGTCATTATCTTTTGGCCTTTGGGGAGGAGGGAGACAGAATGGATGTGAAATGCCTTTCAGTAGCTTGTGCTAGCAGTCCTCCATCCAGAAGCACCTTTTATTTTTGAAATTCAGCAAGCATGCAACAGGTGAGGTGGTGAAATAGCTTGTGAGCTTATACAGTAGGTGTGAGATTGCACGATTGAATGGACTTCCCTGTTGTGAAAAATTAATGCATGAGACTATTTCTTGTGAGCATGCAGCTGCATGTCTTCCCCTGGTGTAATCATTCACATAGAGATGTTATGTTGCAGCAGAAAATAACAAAATGCAAAATCCACAAGAGAGCAACCCATTTATTAGCCAATCAAAATGCAGATAATACATCATGCAACCATTCAAGTCTTTGTTTAGAGAAGAAGAGGTAATAATATCTGTTGTGGTTCAGTTGTTCTGGAGAGATCTCAGTGCAGACGAATGCCACTCCTTCCTTGGCCAATAAAAGTCAGGTAATAGGATTTCAATTCCTTTAGCAACAGAAAAGCAACTTCCCTTGATTCTGTTTCCTCCCTGTTTGCAACCCGAAGTAATAGGATTCAGAAGTATTTTTTTATCTCATCTGCTCCTTGAAGAAGTCCATTTGGACACAAATTAATGGCTAATAATAATAATAATATACTTTATATTTTGCCCTATTATATATTTTATATTACATCTAATAATATTACAGTATAATGGTATAGTACAATATAGTAATAAATAATACTAATATTGTGCTGTTCTAATAATATAATATATTGTATACACATAATTGCCAGATGTTCAAGCTGGGTTTAGAAAAGGCAGAGGAATGAGAGACCAGATTGCCAATATCCGCTGGATAATGGAGAAAGGCAGGGAGTTTCAGAAAAACATCTACTTCTGCTTCATTGACTATTCTAAAGCCTTTGACTGTGTGGATCATAATAAATTGTGGCAAGTTCTTGGTGGGATGGGCATACCAAGCCACCTTGTCTCTCTCCTGAGGAATCTGTACAAGGACCAAGTAGCAACAGTCAGAACTGACCACAGAACAACAGACTGGTTCAAGATTGGGAAAGGCGTACGGCAAGGCTGCATACTCTCACCCAACCTTTTTAACTTGTATGCAGAACACATCATGCGATGTGCAGGGCTTGATGAATGCAAAGCTGGGGTGAAAATTGCTGGAAGAAACATTAACAACCTCAGATATGCAGATGACACCACTCTGATGGCCAAAAGCGAGGAGGAGCTGAGGAGCCTTCTAATCAAGGTGAAAGAAGAAAGCACAACCTACGGATGTGAGAGCTGGACCTTAGGGAAGGCTGAGCGGAGAAAGATCGATGAGTTGTGGTGTTGGAGGAAGGTTCTGAGAGTGCCTTGGACTGCGAGAAGATCCAACCAGTCCATCCTCCAGGAAATAAAGCCCGACTGCTCACTGGAGGGAAGGATACTAGAGACCAAAGTTGAAGTACTTTGGCCACATCATGAGGAGACAGCAAAGCCTAGAGAAGACAATGATACTGGGGAAAGTGGAAGGCAAAAGGAAGAGGGGCCGACCAAGGGCAAGATGGATGGATGGCATCCTTGAAGTGACTGGACTGACCTTGAAGGAGCTGGGGGTGGTGACGGCCGACAGGGAGCTCTGGCGTGGGATGGTCCATGAGGTCACGAAGAGTCGGAAACGACTGAACGAATGAACAACAACAATTGCAAAATTCAACCCTTTGATGTAATACAATATAATAATAATACAATATAATAATTTTATATTTCATATTACATGTAATATTACTAATAATATTACAGTATAGTGGTATAATACAATACAGTAATATATAATACTAATATTGTGCTATGCTAGTAATGTAATATATTGTATGTACATATAACTTGTAAGCCACTCTGAGTCCCGTTTGGGGTGAGAAGGGCAGCATATAAATGTTGTAAATAAATAAATAAATAAATAAATAATATCTCCCTGAGGGGACTCGGAGGATTACTGTATACATATATGGCAAATATTTAATGCTGTTATACAATTAACAAAGACGGACAGTACATAAACAGAGGTAAAGGCTTCCCATCTTTTTCCATCTCAGGCATCTAGAAGCTGTGCTCGACTCCAGCCATGGGAGTGTGTGTGTGTGTTCTGTCACTCCCATCTTCTATGCTGAGGAGCTTTATTGTCTTTAGAAGCTCTCCTGACCAAATCACCGGCATGTCTGCATGGGAGCCTTTTATTGCCTCCCCGTCAAGGTGGTACCTATTTATCTACTTACATTATTGTTTTCGAACTGCTAGGTGAGCAGAAGTTGGGCTGACGGTTGGGAGCTCACCCCAACCTGGGCTTGAATTGTCAGCCTTTCGATCAGCAAGATTTTCATCCTGTTTCATTCTTTGCACACATTGGTTTGATCCATTCTGTATGCAAGTCTGAGTTCACATTTACAGAGCTCTCTTACTGTAGATACTTAGAGCCTAAATTCTCTCCCCGTTCCTTCCGAAGCCTGTGCACTGAGCAGTCTTATCTCCGAACAATCTTATCCAAGCAATATTTGGATAAAACTGCAGCCCATGAATTATACTTCTTTTATCCACTGCAAGCACAAGCTCTTTAGTGTATCTGCCAGCTCATGTGAACCCGATTTTGCCCTTTTCTTGACGAAAATAAACACAGCTGAGCTTTTAACGGGTTACAGCCCCGGCGCTAATCCATAACAGTTTAGCAAATGTTCCGCCAATCCCACGACACGCGAAGACAGAACCGGCTGAGCAGATTAAAACTCAGGAAAGCAAAGCATCTGAGCTGAGGATGTTACGTAAGTGTTCCCGGGCTCCAGCTTTCCTCCAAGGAAGGATGTGAAAGTCTTGACTACACGCTGCTCTAAAGCACTTTTGAGGGAAAGCAGGGTGGAAGCTGCTGCATCATTAATGGAGCGGCTGTAAATGCACGCCTGCCCACAGATATGACGGAAAGAGTATCCATAAATGAGCAGAAGAATGGCCAAACAAAACTGCAGGAGCAGCTGGCTGAAACAACTCAAGTTAGACCTTATTTTAAGGCAAATCACAATAAATGCTCAAACTGGCAAAAGAGAACTTTTAAAAACCCCAAGTCTTAAGGAAGTGTATTTCAGGGTGAACTGACCACAGCTATCTGCCCAAATTGAAATATGAAAAAGCCTTACAGTTGCTCCTGAAGGTGAGTAAAAAATGGGGAAACGTGCACCTTGGAAAATACCTGCTTTCAGCTACAATTGGACTTTTCACTAGACTGAGATACATCTACACAGCTTGAGACAACTTCAACTGCCATGGCTCGATGCTATCAAACCCTAGGATTTGTAGTTT